GTGGACAAATGAGAGATCCTAATAAATATTTACTGATTTTGATCATTTTCTTGTTACTCACTTTGTACCAAATGATAAGTCCTGCTTCATCTTCAACACCACCGCCACAAGCTGATACCCACCAGTACTTGTCAACGATGAGGACCCATATGGACAAAGTAGATACTTGATTGGAAAATGATGGGGATGGGATATGGAAGTGGAGTAGTGATTGGTTTTTCTATTGGATATACAGTATTCAGTCAGATGAGAATCAAATGGTTCACTGATCTGGAAAGGCGAGCAAGAGAGCATGGGAGAAGGTTCAGGCAAGGTCAAAGGAAGCTTCGAAGTGGAAGATGAAGTTGATGCTGGTGAAAGTAGGAAACCAGATATTAATTATCACCAGGTAAATCGTACCTGTAAGGTTTTCTGAATCACCAGGAATGGAGTGGCCCTTGTTGATTTAGCTTATGCTTAAATGTACTAAAGATGCATTAATTTGGTTTGTAGTAAATTTTTGTTCTTTACTTTGTATTAATGTAAAATAAAGCTTGGAACCAGATTATTTTTCCAAGAATCAATGGTTTGTCAATGACATAATCAAATGTTTCAATTTACTAATTTAATTTGGATAAAACTCCAAAAAAATTTATGCAAATGATAGGATACTCCACTTCATGCATAGCGAAAAAAAAAAAAAAAATCTACATTATAAAAAGTTGCTTACACTAATAGAGTAATTCTTCGTTCTATCTTTATATATTTAATTGAATTAATTTAATTCTTAAATATATTTAAAGTTTTTAATCTATTTTTTTGTTAAGATTTTCAAGTCAAATCATTAAAATTATTCCCATGATTTTTATAAAAAAATATATTTTATTTATCTAACTTGCAAAGATATTTTAAGAATAAAAAAATAATTTCAATAATTTGGCTTGAAATATGTCAAAAAATAGATTGAAAATTTAATGTATATTAAAAATAAAAAACTGATTCAATTAGACATATATAAAAACAAATTAAAAATTATTTTGTTATATGAAAAACAGATTAAACCATTAACTCAATATTTTTATATTGATAGCGTAATTAAAGATTTCATTGTCTAGAGATATTTTTGTGTAGATCAAAAAATCACATATAGAAAAGAATGGTCTCAACTCAACCAAGACCCCCAACTGGTATAAACATGGGTGCGAAATACATAAGAAATAAAAAAAAATACTTATAATAATTAACTTTTAATTAAATTGCCCAAATTAATGAATTTCAAAACAAATTATTTCTCATAGTTTTTATTTTTTCCTTTCTAAATCTGACAATGATATGATGGGTCTCCTTGATGGACCAATCTTCAAATTTTAAATTATTTGAGAATTGATTCCTTAATTTTTAATTTTGAGTTTGACCATCTTTTAATTATTTTCATTTAAAATTATGTCATTTTGTTATTTTTTTTTATCAATTCTAATGTATAAATATAATTTTTAATAGGTAAAACTATGAAAAAATTTCTAAATTTTTTTTCCTCCAAAATTTGTTTTTTCCCTCTTAAATACTAAGAAATAAGCCATTAAAAAATATTTTAGAAGAAAAAATCAATCACATATAAATTACATATATTTATATAATTAGAATTGATAAAAAATAAATACAAATATCTAATTTCAATTAAAAAAATAATTAGATAGAGATTCAAACTAAAATAAAAAATTAAAAGACTGAATTTCAAATGATTTAAAATTCAAAAAAAAAAAAAAGGACTATTTAGCCTAAAATGAATATCGGGATAACAATGGATGGGTATTCAAGCCATAAAATAAATACAGGGACAACATTCTTTAAAATGTAAATAAAAAAATATTTAAAATGAAAAACGTTGCACACTTGTCGACCCATCATTGGCTATTAGCATTCAAACTTTCTTACGTGTGTATGGATATATAAACGCGTTGCACACCTGTCGACCCATCATTGGCTATTAGCATTCAAACTTTCTTACATACGTAAGGAAATCTAATCTAGAGAATCCCAAACATCATGGGCGCAGTACTCCTGTCCTGTCTTTCTGCGATCCATCCTTTTTAAAGAAAAGATCTTTTTGCAGATTCAATCTAAAAAAAGGTCCATCTTCTTCTTCTTCTTCTTCTTTAGATTCTTTTTCTTCGTCTTTTTTCTTTTTGGCACGAAAGCAAAAAATGAAAGTTGATAGCAGTAGTGATTTAGGAAGAGGAGAGAATGGGACTGTGATTGAGGTCTCGCCGGAAGACAATAATCCGCCGGCCACGGAGGGGAATAGAGAGGATAGAGAGGGAGAAGAAGAGCTGTTTGTGCCACCTTTGAATTTTGCTATGGTGGATAATGGAATATTTAGGTCGGGTTTCCCTGATTCTGCTAATTTCAGCTTCTTGCAATCCCTAGGTCTACGTTCCATTCTGTAAGCATCAAGCTTCATTGTAGTTTATTTTCTGTTGTTTTTACCATAAATGACTTTAGATGTTTATTTCATGTTTTTTTTTAATCAATTTTTTGGTGTGATTTTTTAGATATTTGTGCCCAGAACCATACCCAGAAGCAAATAGTGAGTTTTTGAAGGCTAATGGAATTCAGCTTTTTCAGTTTGGCATTGAAATGTGCAAGGTTGTTTTCTTTTCTTTAAAGTATTTGATTTTTCTTAAATTTTAAGAATAATTACAATTTGGGATTTTTAAATGATAGGTTGATTATTCATAAATAAGTGAAATTTAGAACATTAGGAGTCCATGATTTCATGTTGATATAATAATTCCACTAGTCTCGGTGTGTTTTGACGCTAAAGTTGGTCCGAGGATAATCCTAGCCTCAAAGCCAGAATAATAATTTCACTAGAGGGACTCCAGGAGGGAATTTGTTATTGTTCCATTGACAGGGGTTTGATTGAGGTATTTTTCATCTTACGGTTGGAAATTGTGAGATTATGATAGGAAGAGATGAGATTTTTCGATAGCTTATAAATTGTGATATTCAATGGTGTGAAGGAAGTTCTTTTGCATTTGAAACAATATTGTTCTTCGCAAATTGATAATGTGGACTGGACAGGAGCCTTTTGTAAACATTCCAGAGGAAACAATCCGCGAAGCATTGAAAGTACTCATTGGTATCTTGAAAACTTCCCCAACTTTTTAGACTTGTGTTTGCAGATTGCTTGTTTTACAATATGCTCATGTTCGTCTATCTCCATGCCAGATGCAAGGAATCACCCTGTCTTAATTCATTGCAAGCGAGGAAAGGTACTTGTGTTTCTTTGCATTTCTCTGCTTTCGCTGAAAAAAGAGTAAAAAGTTAAGTGTTTCTCCTAACATTTGGATCTTTGGTCTAAACCCAGCATCGTACTGGATGTCTTGTGGGATGTTTGAGAAAGCTGCAAAGATGGTGCCTGTCATCCATATTTGATGAGTACCAGAGGTTTGCCGGAGCCAAAGCAAGAGTGTCAGATCAGAGGTTTATGGAGTTATTCGACATTTCAAGCTTGAAGAACTCCCCATTGTCCTTTTCTTGTTCAAACAGATAAGAGAAATACACATCCTAGTAAAAGAAATTAAAACACAGCCTGAAAGATATTGAAGGGATGGAAGCCAGAGGGTATCAGTATTCCTACTGATCGTAATTCTTTCTTTTTTTTTCCCCCTTTTGAGTGGACAATCAGATACACTTGCTGGTGTTGTCATCTCAGTTTCCTTATTTTCAATCAATAATAATCACATATACAAGAAGCCCTTCAGGTTTTCTTATCAGTACACACAGACCATTGCTTCTGTTAAGAAAACAGCAAAGGTCTAGATGTGTTGTTCTGCACGTTATGCAAATGTCAAACACGTTGAACTTGCAATCCATTATGGTTCCATGGTTTGCTATGTCCTAAGCAAATTTGTAGATTTAAAGAATACATTGGTGAATAAACAAAATGCTCATAGATGATTAACCTCTAATCTGTTTAAATTATGGAAAAACTGTTTTCTTTTAATCACAAAAAAAAAAACAAACAAAAATGTGGACGAGCAACAATCGAATCGTCAATCAAAGAATGACGACTGAAACGATATCTCGGCCTTTACATTTGTTCTACCTCTGTTCATCTGAACGAAAGAGACACTAAATCTGTCTCTCCTCCCATTGACAGAACTGAGGTTTTGATGCTAAAGATCATTACTTTAATCCAAAATAACACAACCCATTAAAGTACAGATCAGGAAACTCAGGTTTGATGCTAAAAAACATTGCTCTCTACACAAGGACGACAAAGAAAACAGAGCCCATTAAAAGGGCAGGCAATAAAAATGATGTTTTGATGTTAAAGATCATTGCTTCAAATTCAGAAAAAACTAACCCCATTAAAACACAGGAAGGGAAAAAAAAAAAAAATTTCCACTGACGCCAATAGCTCGTCAAGTCTGCAGGCAAATAAGAAGTTATAGAGGGTTTTATAAAGGGATGATAAAACCCTAGAGCGTTTTGACTATTTAAATTACCATATCGCCCTTTACTACTGCAATGTGTTTATCTCCCACATGACTAGATCCTCTGGCCCACGCATGATGGGATGAATATCCAATTGGGTTGCTAACCCAAAAGTCAGAGATTTTGTTTTTCTCAAAGGTCATCAGATCAAACGGCTGATAATGAATTCACAACAGAGTCCGTAATTCCATATTCGATGATTAGACCCAATAATGTTTTAAACTGATCCCTACCAACACCATCTAGGGTTTCTTTCAAGGTCTCCAAAACCCATTCGAATCCTCCACTGGACTGAGCTGCAACTCAACGGTTCTCCAAATTTAGCTCTTTTGGGCCTTTTCAATCTGTGTAGGCTTCAACTTTAAGCTTCTCGAAAACTGTAAGTGCTCTTTTCTCTATGTTCCTTTATAATTAGAGCTCAAAGATTGCAACTTTCAATCTTATTTTGATCGAATTTAAGCTCAAGTAAGTAATTATCGTTTTTTTCAGATTTTGTGAGTTAGAGAAGGAATAACTATATGGGAAAATCTGGAGGTAGGAAAAAGAAGGGAAGTGGTGCTGGTGCAAACCAAGCATTAAGTGGGGAAAATAATGGTAATTCAAATTCAAAAGCATCCCCAAATGCTAATGGGGGTATTGATTTAGACTCTTCAATATTTTTGAAAAGAGCCCATGAGCTTAAAGAAGAAGGAAACAAGAGGTTTCAGAATAAGGACTACGCAGGTGCTCTTGAACAGTATAACAATGCTCTTCGCATAACTCCGAAAACACACCCCGACCGTGCTGTGTTTCATAGCAATAGGGCTGCTTGTTTAATGCAAATGAAACCTATTGATTATGAGACTGTTATTGCTGAGTGTACTATGGCACTTCAAGTGCATCCTCAGTTTGTAAGGGCTCTTCTTAGAAGGGCTCGTGCATTTGAGGCTATAGGGAAGTATGAAATGGCTATGCAGGATGTTCAGGTTTTGTTAGGGGCTGAACCAAATCACCGTGATGCTTTGGATATTGCTCGGAAATTGAGGACTGCATTTGGTCCTCGCCAAGAGGCTCAGCAGGATCTCCAGAGCCGTCCATCCCCTGCTGCCTTAGGGGCATCTGCTGTGCGTGGTGCCCCGATTGGTGGTCTCGGCCCTTGTTTACCACCCCGTACGGTTTCAAAGAAGGGAGCTGGACCACCTGGTGGGTCTGTTGGATCACCTAGTAATAAGATGGAGAAGCCTCTGTTGAATTCGGTAAGTGAAAATGGTCATGAGACCAAAAACCAGTTGCCGAAAGTTGTGTTGAAGCCTTCCAGTGGTTTTTCAAAAGTTCCTGCTAATCCAGGAAAGGATAGAAAGGGAAAGGAGTCCCTATCTTCCTCAGTGTCATTGCCTGGACAGGTTTCAGAGGTGGCTGTTCGATTAAGACCATTGAAACTTGTCTATGACCATGACATAAGGCTCGCACAAATGCCAGTTGGTTGTGCTTTTAAAGTGTTAAGGGAGATAGTGAGCAAGCGTTTTCCATCATCCAAGTCAGTTTTGGTCAAATACAAAGATACTGATGGGGATTTGGTGACTATAACAAGCACAACTGAACTCAGATTGGCAGAGTCCTCTGTAGACAGCCTTCTGGTAAAGGAGCCTGATACGGATAAAACTGATTCAGTTGGGATGTTGAGATTGCATGTTGTTGAGGTGAGTCCAGAGCAAGAGCCACTTTTACTGGAAGAAGAGGAGGAGGAGGAGAAGCCTCTTGAGAGTGAAGAGAACAAGGGAGATGAAAGTGGGTCTCATTCATCACTTGGTGAGCCTGTGTCAGAAGTGGTTGATATTGAAGTTGATAAGGCAGAGAAAGAAACTACAAAGGAGAAACCAGGTGCTTCAGAAGATCCAGAAAGCAAAGAAGTAGAGATGGATGATTGGTTGTTTGAGTTTGCACAGCTATTTCGCACCCATGTTGGTATTGACCCAGATGCTCATATTGACTTGCATGAACTTGGGATGGAGTTGTGCTCGGAGGCTCTTGAGGAGACAGTAACAAGTGAAGAAGCTCAAAGCCTTTTCGACAAGGCTGCCTCAAAGTTCCAGGAGGTGGCTGCTTTGGCATTTTTCAATTGGGGAAATGTCCATATGTGTGCAGCAAGGAAACGCATACCCTTAGATGAGTCTGCTGGAAAGGAGGTTGTGTCAGCACAGCTTCAAGCAGCTTATGACTGGGTGAAGGAGAAATATTCTTTGGCCAGAGAGAAGTATGAGGAAGCACTCTTGATCAAACCAGACTTTTACGAGGGTTTGCTGGCACTGGGGCAGCAGCAATTTGAAATGGCCAAACTTCATTGGTCATTTGCGCTTGCTAAGAAAATAGATCTCTCGAGCTGGGACTCTGTGGAAACACTTAAACTGTTTGACAGTGCAGAGGAGAAAATGAAAGCAGCAACTGAGATGTGGGAGAAGCTGGAGGAGCAGAAAGCAAACGAGGTAAAAGATCCAAATGCAAGCAAGAAGGATGAATTGATGAGAAGAAGAAAGAAACAAGGAAATAATGTTGAGGGTGAGTCCTCTGAAAGTGGTGCTCAGGGTGAGATTACGCAGGAAGAGGCAGCTGAACAAGCAGCAGTGATGAGATCGCAGATACATCTTTTCTGGGGTAACATGCTTTTTGAGCGATCCCAGGTTGAATGCAAATTAGGAATGGATGGTTGGAAGAATAAACTTGATGCTGCAGTTGAGCGCTTTACGCTTGCTGGAGCCTCTGAGGCTGACATTTCAATGGTTTTGAAGAACCATTGCTCCAATGGAGATGCCGCAGAAGGAGATGACAAGAAGTTTAAGAATTCAGACACCAATAATGTCAATGAAGCAGATAAGAGTGAGGAGGTAAATAAAGTATGATAGAGGTGATACAGACAAGTGTTTCTTTAGTGTGCGATGGTATCAACGAATAACCTCCTTGTGTTCGTATTAATGATCATAAACTGGGGGAAAGGAAGTTCCTTCTCTCGGCTGGAGGATGAATTCTAGAATTGACTGTTTTGGTCTCAGCATTGAACAGTGGCGTACCTCAACCGATATTTGCATTGCAAGGTCTCCAAGTTAACTTTGGAGGTGATGTTTTTCTGTTTGCATACCAATGAGTTTTCCATAAACAATTTTATGCTCCTAGGTTTTTTGACATTAGTGTGGTCAAACAATGAATTCTTGATTTTTATGGAACATAGCTTATTTCGTCTGGAGTTGTTGCAGATTTTGCGCTTTAATAATCTGCTCTTTACCGTTTCAATTTGTTGAAATTCTGGTTGTAGCATGCATGATGCCTTTTTCTTCCTTTTTTTTCCCCCCTCTCTGCAATTTATGATAAAAATGAAGATTTTGCCTTGAATCAAGTTAAATTCTCTTCATATTTAAAAGTAAAGACAGGATACGTCATGCTAGCATGCCAATCCAAACAACCCTTCAGTATATCCTGTCTCTGTTTTTTTTTTTTTTTTTGCCTTGATAACTAAACTGACTGTACGTTTAACTCAGTTGCCATGGATGAATAATTCATTCTAAAGATTTTGAGTTTGCTATAACGCCATGTTCATCGATTGTGTTGGTGGGTGTTACCACCTTTGTAACCAAGTGGCACATGTAATGGGCCGATGCTAGTAGACCTAACCTAGTGGTAGGGGAGAGCTACTTTGAATGACATCTGTTTATACCAACCTCGAATTGGCTAACAGTTTGTTGAATTATCATACGATTGTAGACTTGCTATGCCAAGAGAAACTAGCTGACATGATTATTTGATTAGGTTTGGTCGATGATAGCAACAATGCACTGTCAATAAATGGATGGTTGGAATTTTCATTTCGAACCTGTCGAACGACCAATGGCATCATGCTAATGAGTCGGAAGTTTTCTTTATTGAATTATCGTACGATTGGATTACTGTAACTTTGTTGACAATAGGCACAGATTGCATGATATTTGATTGCAAGAGTGAGTCATCAAGAAAAATGCCTCGTTTTCTTGAATTGAAAATGGTAGGTCAATTCTATGGATTTTTCTTGCAAATGGTTCCTGCCTGGATTTGTTTAGCCTTGCCACTGTCATTCAGTTATTTGTAACGCCAAGAACGTGGTTTTCAGAGGTGAAAGTAAAAGCAGAACAGAACACTCCAAAGGGAGACAAAACACTCTATAACACTGCTAATGGCAGTTTACAATTATAACAGTTACAGTACTACTATATAATGGTACCGATGAAAGAGCTTGTAATCTAGTGATAATAAATAATAATCTCTTACAGTAAGAGATTATGAATTCAAATGCTAGTAGAGTAATGCTATTATGAGTTTTGAGTGAGCGAGTTAAAAATAAAAATAACGTAACGGTCATATGTTATAGTTAAAATAATAGATCAATTTCGATTATTTTTGATAGTTTTGGTATCTCAAGTTCACGTTTTCATTTTTTTCTTTCACCTTCTTGTTTTTAGTAGTTATAACGTTTGGTTTATGTTTTTACCTACTAGAAGTACTATTATTGTATATATTTAACAAATCTATGAGAAAAGCTTGTATTATTGAAGTTTTTCTAGAATTACTAATGAATTTACCACTATGAACTAGAACTATAATAATCAATTCTCATCTCTACATCCTTGCCCTTGTAAATCAAACAAGAAATGGGGCAAAAATTTTGAATGAGTTTTGCCATTGTTGCCTGTGGAGCTCAAGATCCATTGAGTGGAAAAACAAAAGACAGCTGAAAGGCAATATTTAAAACCAGAACGCTACCACATGGTATTTAAGGACAAATTACTTGTCAAAGAGGATTTTTGGACATGTTCCAATTTGGCAATTTCTACATCATAAGCTTCTATTCAAACTTTAGCCACCCCCACACCTTACACATGACCAATACATATATCTCACCAAACAAGGAACTGCTTAGTCCAAGCTTTCGGCTTTATTTAAACTATTAAGTTCCACACCAGACCAATACATAAACTAAGACTTAAATCCCAACAACTAGAACCTTAACAGTCCTCTTTAAGTACAAACAGAACACCCACTTCCGTTTCTGTAGCAGAGGAGTGCTTAAGCAATTGCAATTGGACCTCGAGTGATTGTAGATTCCATGGCCTTCATGGCTTCAAATCTTGGCTCCTTGGCTTGGAATTTGAGGCCTGCATAGAGCTTCATATAGTCCTCGAACACAAATTTTGGGTAGATTTGGCTTTCCTCTGCTTCTTTCTCGACCAATGCTGATGCTGGGTAGATGACAGCATCACTTCCTGGGTTGTAGAATGACGCTATTGACATCCTGGTACCATCTGTTTGAGCTATCACACGGTGCATCACACTCTTATATTTGCCGTTGGTAATGACCTATACGACGAACATAAAACAACGCCATTCTCATTAAAAGGCAAAGCTGCTTTAAACGAAGCTGGCAAAATGACATTTGAGAAGATGCCATGAAACCAGAGTTTATTACTGTTGTTAAAGCTGTCTTCCCTTAATATGGTATATATTGCTGTTAAAATCTAGCCCCCTGTTATTCGTGGTTTGATTACAACTACATATTCTCACGCTTTAAAACCACAAGTTGAAACTTGAAAGTGACAGAAAAAAGGAAAGCAATGGTCAGGACTCAGGAAGGATTGTGTGGATATAGTTATACCTCAAGTTGGTCACCTAAGTTGATCACAATGGAGTGGTTCATAGGTGGAACATCAATCCATTGGCCGTCCTTGAGGAGCTGGAGGCCACTGACCTTATCGTCTTGGAAGAGTAAAATGATGCCACCAGCGTCAGTGTGGGCCCTGAGGCCTTTGATCAGGTCTGGTTTAGGGCATGGAGGGTAGTTGCTGACCTTAGTTCCAAAGGTCGGTCCTTTGGACCCGTAAAAGGCTTTTTTCAGGTAGCCCTTTTCCAACCCAAGATTCTCACACAGCAAGTCTAAAAGTTGCTCGGCAAGTTTTTCCAGTTCCGTTGCAAACTCCTTCATTGTCTTCCTGTTGTATTCACAAAAACATGTAAACAGAAAATATTAATGATCAATATCATTCATCAAGAGCTAGCTAGCTCGGTTCTTCTCTTAGAGAAAACGCAAATGTAAATTCATATTGTAACCTGTAATCATCTTCAAGATCAGGGATTTCAGCCAGGTTGGATTCAGGAAGGTGGCGCAAGAAGAAAGTGCTTTCCCAGTCCAAGTCATCGATTTCAGATTGAACAGCCTCAAGACCCTTGCTGGCCACCATTTCTTTAAACCTTTGCTCCATGCATTTCCTGTAGTGCTCTTTTGTGAGTCTCTCCACAGTGTCCAAGAGATCATGAGATATCCCATGGTTCACCAACTTCATTTACAAACACATCAAAAACATTGTTAGTATATTAATCATAATCATAACGCACAAGCAAGCTGTTCCGAAAATACTTCATCAGAGACTATCGTTGTCGCATAAAAAGAAAAGAATTCTCGAAGAAAATTCCAAGTGCGTACCTCAAAGAAACCCCAGTTCTCACAGGCATCATTAATCATCTCCATGGTTGGTTTCCTCTCCTCACCATTAAGCTTTGACAAGTCAATAACTGGGAAGGCCTCCATTCTTAATTTTCTCTCTTTCTTTCTTTCTGGCTATATATCAACTTCTTTGACAGGAAGTGTAAACTCTTTCCACTCTAATGTTGTAACTCTCTTGTGTGAAATGACCTGATCGGAAGACAGCAATTTATAGACCGTGAAAAGAGGCAAAAATGGAATAAGCTTAAAAGCTGGGGTAGCTTAAAAAAATCTGATATCAGAAAAATGAAGAAATCCAAATCTAAGGTAAAATAAAATAAAACAAACAGGAGTCGTGGAGCACGTATGATGTATGCAGATCACATCGTGATGGACCCCTACAACTTTTGTCTTGAAAGGTAAGCTAGCAAGCTACTGCCATGATCTTATGATCTTTAGTGGCTTGTAAATCTGTAGTTGCTTTCCGGCATAGCTAGCTAGCTATGATCCATGCCCACGTACCCCACCTCTTTGTGCTTGTATATTTCATAATTTACTTTATTTCTTTGGGACTTGACCAAACAAAAGCCTAACAGAGTAACAGTCGAAATTCCTTTTTCCATGCATGCCCCATTTCTCTTTAGTAAATTATAAATTAGTCCTTCTAATTTTGAGAGATGAATTAATTATTTTTTTAAAAAATGATCATTTAATCTTTCGTTTTTAAATTTTTGATAATTTAATCCTTTTTTTAAGAAATAGAAAAAAAATAAAAAATATCGAAGGATTAATTATGGAAAAAATGACATTTTATGAAATAAAATAATCTTATATTAAAGGTGATCAACCTTAATTAAAAAAATAAAAATAAAACAAAGAAAACTAATTAATTTTTTTTAAAAAAAAATAGAGGGACTAAATTATAATTTACTCCATCTCTCTTTTTATTATTATTATTATTATTATTATTATTATTAGAGTGCCTGAAAGATCAAGCCAAATCTATGTCCACTGGTTAGAGAGAATAAAGATTGGAAGGCTTTTTTATTTATTTATTACAGTGCCTATAAGATCATGACAGATCTATGTCAACTGGCTAGAGAGTCCAAAGATTTCAAGGAAGGTATCTAGGAAATTACATATTCTTTTTTTATCCTTCTCTAATATTTTGGAGCTAATAATAGTTGTAGATATGATTAATTTTTTTTTATTTCATCAAAATCTTTCTTTTAACTATATGCTTAATTATTTTATCTTCATAATCGAATGGATATACTTCAATAATTGAATAAAATTTTAATATATAATTTAACATCTTTGATTATGAAAATTTAAAAAGAAATCCATTTGAGTTGTGATTTTAGGTAAGTTGCAAAATAAATAAACAAATAAATAAACAGGCCCTTCAAAATTAATAACATGTTTCCTTAAAAAAAAAAAACAGAAACCGATGACAGAATAAAGATTATATATTGGTTGCCTAAAGTATAGTAAAAACGAATAAAATTGAAAGGAAATTTTGTTTCAAAACTCATTCACAATTTTTTTTCTTTCTAACTTTTACTTGTATTTATTTTCTACTTTCTATGGCTACCTTCCTTTTCTTGCAGAATTAGAAACGGAAAAAGAGAAAACAAATCTTAGAAATAAGTTACTATTTTCTTTTTGTTTTTGTTTTGGAAGAAATTCGTATTCTTGTTGCGATTCATTGTTAACTTGTGGGAACATAGAACTTATGGTTTATGACGCTATGAACACGATAGTTTCATTAATCGGTTAGTAAGTAGAGATCAAGAAGCCAAGCTCTTTGTGAGAGTTCGGAGGCAAAACCTTCGAAAAACTTATAGAATATTAGACTAATTGTATAGATTTATTAGATTTTTTTTTATATAATCCTAACTATTCACACTATAAATAGGCATAATATTTTTTATATTTATAAGTTATCACTTGATAAAACCTTAATAAGAAATTTTAATTTAACTATAAAGTAGACACAATTGTTGAACCACGTAAATCTTCATCTTATGTTATTGTTTTTATTTTTCTATTCTATTTTATTATTTGATTTGCTTTCTAACACTCATCTCTCTTTTTTGGGTACTCCATTTTCTTTCTCAATCATTGATTAGCGTTTCTTCAAGAAAATAAATCTATACCACCTTTTTTTGAACTCAAAGTGAATACACATGCGCAAGAAACAAAGAGTAATAGGAAAAATGCACAAAAAACTAATCATTTTACCTTCTAGTTTAAGTTTGGAAAAATATTAATTACTCTGAAACGAAAATGATTTACAAACATATATATTCTTTGTATAAATTGAAGTGTCAATTTGTAAGTAATTAGGTAAAGATCTTATAAATTTAAAATGACTGAGATTAAAAAGTGCTTGCCATATATATATATATATATATGTTTGTACAAAAATTTTGTATGAAAAATTTATTTATATAACATTACATTTATATAAATAAATATAAGATAAAATTACCTTTAAAGTAGTAAAAAAAAAAAAATTGTGTGGTGATCCTAGCCGTTACTTTGAATCCAATGGGTAGAAACAAAATCCCAATCCTAAAATGAATCTCTCTTCCTTACCCTAGGTTATTCAATTCATATGTTCTCTCCTGTTTGTGGATCAAAAACAAAAATCTCTCTTATTTTGTTGTGAATTCATCTCTCCTATTAACTCAATTCAATTTGATATGAATATTGATATCATGGATTTTCATCAATTAAAATGGATAAAAAATAATAATAATAACCATGCATTACAAACTAGGAAACAGAGAGAGATCAAACCAACAAATTACAATTCAGAGCAAAAAAAATTTTTTAAAAAAAACATTAATACAAATTTTATATCATTAATTTTAAAAATACGTCAGTATGTGCATCAATGAATAATCATATATGCTCATCTAATCATCTCCCCATGTTAATTATTTAAAAATGCCGTAGCTCAGCATTGTTGTTTTTAAACATTAGGGATACACCTAAAACATATATAATCACCTAGTTGACCATTTCTGTATCTTAATTAATCTTTCTTTCCCTAACTAAATACTTATAATATACAGGTGTTCAGAAAGAATAGAACAAGCCTTCCCATTGAAGGCCAAAAACATGGCGGCTCCCTCAATCGCCGCCACAGTAATCATATCTTAATAAACTTTACAATTTGTATAGTAAATTAATTTTACTCTTCTTTGACAACTTAATTAATGTTCGTGCTGACATAATCATATTCAAACACTTAGATTCATAAATATATACATATATATTTAATCTCGGGATATCTCATACTTAAAAGTTTAAATTAATTACTCACAATTCAATTAGAATACAAAATGTATATTTCTACCCAAATGATTTGTCTATATATATATCAAGATTTAAAATCAAAATCACTTACTTAAACCATTAAAATATTTTTCATTAAAATTAATTATTTTGAGATTTATGATTTTTATATTCATGTCTAAAAAATACATCTGCTTAACATATTCGGGATTAAAATTTAGGATATTTTTGTCGATATCATATGCAAATATATAATCTTATAAAAAAAAAAAGTGACGGGACTTGACGATAGTAGGGTGTATAGTATTTTGATACATTCTTTTACTTTTTATTGTTCTTGGAAGAACAGCATTATTACAAGGATAAATGCATGATTTCCCACATTCACGTGAGCATATTAATTATTATGTCAAAATAAAAAGATAAGCCATGTCCTACCATTTTCAACTTCGACAGAAGATAAGATTAAATGGTAATAATAACATTTGAATCACCCACATATATTTATCAAAATCTTTGTCCTTTTTTTTTTTTTTCCTTTTTTGAGAAAGAATCTTTATTTGAATCACCCACATTCGAATAACGTTTTTCTTATTTGCATACTTCATTTTTCCTTCGAGCGTGGTTCTCTTTTCCTGGTTGATTTGATTGATAACATCATTTCATCATATCGAGTACAATCAAAAGCAAAGCATGCCATAAAAGATCACCATCGAGTAAAAGGAAGAAAGCTGAAGATCTGGTTAAGTTTGTGGGAAAAAAGACATAAAGATCACAACCTGGTGAACAACCTAATGCGTATGCATGGGACCCATTAATATACATGCATATTGGATTTGGGTTTGAAAAATGAAGGGAAGACCAAGCATTTCGCATTTTGAATCCAAGTTTTGTTTAATTAGAGTGTACGACAATGATGTTAATTAAGAAAACAATTAGAATGTCCCACAATTATGAAAAAAAATATATTGCAAAACTTATCTCATATCAAATAAATAAATAATATATAAAATTAAGAAAATATCATCTATTTATCATAATTTTTTTAAAAATTTAACGATTCAATAAAAATATAAAACTTCAAATGTTACATAATAAACACCAAAAAAATATTACTTTTGATTGAGTTTAGATGAGGGAGAAAACAATTCTTTGTTTTTATAGTTTTTTCTCTTCTTTTCTTTTTCATATACATTTTTTATTTTTTTTATTTTGTTTTTGACGTAACAAATTAATTGGATATGTCACAAAATATGACATTTTCTTTGATAGATGTCATTTTTTATCAGAAAATTAATCAAAAATAATTAACAAGACTACATTAATAAAATTTCAAAAGTAATGAGAAGTGATGAATAAATAAATAAATAAATAAATAATAGATGTAACTCATTAATTAAGAAAATTTCAAGAATAAAAGAGGAAAGTTTCATACTATTATCCAATAAAAAATCGACAGGCTCAGCAAGGTACCTCCCAAGGGGTGACAGTTAGAATATTAGTTAGGCTTAGGTAGTTGATTAATTATTATGATTAAAATATTAATTACTACTTACTACAAGAAGCATGTTGGTAAACCAGGGGCTTTTCCCTTTCAACCAAAAGAGAAGCTGTGGGTTTTGATCAGTTCATGACCTTTTCACTTTCTTCTTTCGGTTCTCTCAATCTAGCTATACACATGCAAAGTTTAATTTCGGACCCTAATTTACGGCAACTTTGATTCATTAACTACCATACATTGATGGATATCTTGTAAAAATAAAAAAAATTTATAATACTTAAAGAGTAATTAATTTAAGTTATTTCATAAAAAGAGATAGACATAAACAGAAGAGAAAAATAAGAGAGAGAAAATTAAAAAAATATAAGAAATTTGAGCCAACATAAAAATCTTCTTGTTATTTTTAATGTATCCAAATATGATTTTTTTTTTTAATGTATTTATCTCTTTTTTAATCTATAACATAATTTTTTTTACTGATTTATATTGTTTAAAAAAAATCAGTTTTTACATAAAAACAGAAATCAATAAACAAAATTTTGGTTTCATAGATTAAAAAATGGATTAGAAATTGGATTTGGATTCAGTTTTTCAATAGGTGAGTTCGACTCTTTCGAGGACTTTCGGTTAGAAAAGAAACAAATAAACTAATGTAAGTGGTTGGCAACTATTCAATTACCTGGATCATGAATATTCTTTTTAAAGAACGTTCATAGAAGCAGGCAAAAGTCCAACTCCATGAACGAATTTTATGACATTTCGTTGTTCAACAGAAGAAAAAAGAAAAAAGTTATGATATTTCCTCTGAGAAAGAACAGAACACAGAACCACATGTCTCGTCTGGTTGATGCAAGAAAGTTTGTGGATGGGGATGGGGAACTGATGGGCCAAAGTTAAGTACGTGGGTCAATCATTCATCGCTTTGAAAACTGGTCTAAGTACCCTACCTAATTTAAGCATGAGTAGGAATTGACCATACAATAGTAAGATTGGAAATCAACAACTTAATTAATTTCTAATAATAAAACGGGATTTCTTCTCTTGTTTTTACAGCTACAAAATAACTAGTTGCCACCATTAAGTCACTTAATTTGAAACATAATTTTTGACAAAATTAGTTCCGAAATTAGTGTATTTAGTTTCGGCCTATTCAAAACCTTATTCAAAGATATTTCATTATATGTAATTATATATTAAAAAAACCTATTGACAAAACTATTAATTCATTTTAAAAGATAGTTCAGTTGTTAATAAAAAAATTAGACGTGTTTTGACACTAACTTAGTGTAAAATGTGATGGACTTAATTTCGATTGATGCAAAAACTAATTAAAAAATATCTCATTACCTATAAATAATAATAAATAATACATATCCTTAAATGAAAAGATTTTTAGACTTGAAACTTGTACATGTCCACACTAACTTGTGCTTAATTAATTTTTTTTAAAAAAGAAAATGATGAGATTTGAACTTACGACTATTTATTTATTAAGGCTTTGATACAATATCAAAAAAATTATTTTAATTCAAAAATTTAAATTGTTAGACAAGGTTTCAAGAATGATTTTATATTACTTTTTAACACATATGACACTTGAGAGAAATAATATAAAGAAGAAATATGAAACATAGTGTTATGATTGTATAACTTAAGTAGTAATATTGTCTTGTATACATATATAAAATTCCGTGTAATACCACAATACTAATAATACATAAAATATCACAAGAAATTACAACATATATAAAGAAACTAAGTTGTATGACTTAATAATCACTTGTTACAAGAGAATTTTTTTTTCCGTCTTTTTATTTTTTGAATTTGAATTTTATGATTAATATTCAGAAGAATTTTTTAAAAAATATACTAAATGGTACACATTTAAAATTGTTGAAGAGAAATTTAGTTTTGAATTACATAAAAATATATCCCAAAATACCTTTCTCGTTAATTTACTCTACTCGATATATAGTTAGGCAATTAAACATTTGATTATGATAAGTTATTATATTCTCTAGTGCACGTTTTTAATATAATATTTATGCTAACATAATTAAACACGTAAGTCTCCACTAGAAATGAGCTATTACCTAATTGAAGATAGAGAAACTATCACAATTCTGATCAAGCAAGATGCCATACTAAATTTCCTAATGGAAAACATGGCACGTGAGTCATTAATTGGAACAAAATGTATGGTCACTTTAGGTCTCTTGGATCCAATTCCAGGTTCTATGAATCCCCTCATTCCCTAGTTTTGTGTTGTTTTTTTGTGCATGGTTTCGAACCTTCAAGAAGAAAAAGAAAAGAAAAAAAAAAAGGTGATCTCATCGACATTTATCCATACAAATTAATTATTTACATGAATGTTCCATCCTTTTCCTACTTTTAAATTTTCTCCTCCTTTTGGAATTAATTTTTGTGTGGATGATAATATATAGATTCCCATAAATTTTTAATTTTTTTAATTTGTCATGGATGCAGTCGAGATTTGGTTAGAAGACCCACAATTCTGGAAAATTCTTTTGGTTTCTATTGATCTCATAGGCCTGCGTGGTGCACATGCTATGTTTTTTTTTTTAAAAAAAGAAAAAGAATGTCGAACAATCATTAAAGTTGAACTACCTGATTTAAGAATTTAGTTAGGCGGGTTTTTGAAGAATTTGTCTATCTTTTAATTCCGTTAGAGTTATGAAACAAACTAATTCCAAAACAGATAAAATAATCATCGATATATCTAACCCAAATGTGATGTGTTTTGTTGACAAAAATGTGATCCATGTTAAATCCATTTTATGTTCATCATACTTTATGCATTTATTTATTTATTTATTCTTTTTTATACTTATAATTAGTAGCGTATTTTTATATTAATTTTTATATCAATTAAGATCAAATTTTTCTAAATTAGAGCAATGCTAGATCACGTTTACTAATTATTCAATTCTAAAAGTTAAACTCTTTGAGTCCATTAACAGCTTATGTCTAATACTACATAAGAAAAAAAAAAAGAATTAATTTTTATTTTTATTTTTACCACTCTACCCACAATCCATGCATGTTCATACATTTTCCATTTGCTATGTGATTAGTGGCTAATCAAACATAATCCATTTCCCACCTACATATATAGACACGGGCTGAGTTTCTCATTTTAATGTGAATAAAAAATTTTTAACTGAACCGAAAAGATAAATTTAATCTCTATAAATATTGGTTCGGTCACGCCATATGAGAGGGGGGAGAAGGGGAGGAAGAAAAGAAGGTGAAGTTATCACATAAATAGTGGCTTTGACCAACGATGAATACCTGCAGGGATAGCATAGGTCAAATGGGTAGATGCAGCACGTAGCCACATTAGTATTCTATCTCTATGGTTTATAAGTTATTATATAAACTAATGAAGATGACACACGAACAGTATCTATGTAGAAAAATAGCCTACAAAACTTATTAAAAAAATGGAGTAGTGATCTTTTAAGGATCTAGTTCATCATAACGAACAAGCTTACAGACCTTTCCAGTAAATGGATAAATATTTATTAGTATATTCCTAGCTAGTCAAAGAGTCACAAGGTTGAATTCTCGATTGATTGATGGACAATATCTAATTATTAATTCCACCCAAATTAATAGTTATAAAATTATTCTCGCACATGAAGTCTAAAAGGCTTCCATTAATTTATAAATCAAAGTATGACATTACGTACACATGACTGCAAGATCAGTAAAATATTGTGCAGCAACTGTTTATGGATAACGTATCTAACTCCACCTGAAAGTGTGCTTCAAAATATGTTTGGTTTGTACGGGAAAAACATCAAATTATATCAATGTGTTTTTCACATTTTGGATGTTAATTTGGTTTATGTGGTTTTGATACAAAAAGATTAAAACCAGATCAAAATCGTCAAAAAATCCATAAGTTAAGCGATTTTATTCAAAGTTTGAGTCTCTTACGTTTATGTTGTTTTTAATGTTTTGATATCCTACGTAAAGCATTCATGATATATTTTTATAGTCGGTGATATTACAACATTTAGATGCAAATGACAGTCAACAAAATTCATATATAAAAATTCAAAATTCATGCAAGTTAGCGACCGAGCAATAATTTCTTACTAAAAAGGGAAAAAACATCAACCTTTAAAAACTCTTGTATGCATGTCTATTTGGGTCATCAAGAATCCAAGATGATGAGCTGCCTAGCCATTGTCTAACAAAAAAAGGCCCTCAATACCAAAGAGCAAAGGAGACGTCTATTGCAGAATCGATTAACGGCTAAAATTAGGAATGGGTCAAGCATGTTCCAATCCTGAAAGGTAATTAAGCATATGATCACCTTTTTCAATATAATTCAACAAAAATATATCATTTGTCCTGGAACCTGTGATTGATTCATCAATTTATTCACGTGATCATTAATTGGGGTAAACATATCGGTGAAAAATATAATTATGCATGCATGCCGGTGGATAACATTGCAAATTGATTAAGGTAAAAGTTCATGTGATCACTACGTACAATAATAAGGAATTAATAATTAAGAAGGCCACTCGTTACTTGGGGGCCATTATTATTCTTTAATTAGTGGAACATGAGAGATCGATAGATTTTGTCAGAAGTACTGCCCAATTGTTAATTATACCGTATATATTAATTATGTATTTGAATATTAATATGGTCTAGGATAAGAATATATACAAATACAGTATAATTGCATTCAATTTGTACGTCAAGGAAAGAAAACTCGAAATCAAGAGAGAATTAACTCGAATCAAGTGAAATATATATATATATATATATATATATATATATATATATATATAAGGTATATTTTTCTCTAGGGCATTTCTCTCTCATTCTCTTGTAAAAATTATCTTGTTTATCATCATATTAGTGAGCAGCAGGAAACATTATTTTTTATCTTATTTTTCAATAATTCTAGATCTAGTAATATAGATATGATGTTTTTAGTTAGTTTATTTTACAATTTATGTGTGTTTTTTCACTCCTTGTGAAATTTTTCTTTTTATTTTGTATCCACACCCCTTATGTGGATTTATGGTGTTGCAAAGGAGATTTTTCAACGATATTTGTGATTTGAACAGGACAAGAATAACAATTGAAAGATTTCAAGATAGTAGAGTTAGTAGTAGATTGTGGAATTAAAAGTACATGTCTCAGCAAATATTTCTTCCTCTTAAATATAGTTTTTCAATGGTTATAACTTGTTTGTCTATAGATTTGACATTGTATTTCAGTTTTCTTTATAAAAATTTCATTTTTAGATTTTTGGATGTTTATAGATAACATTAATCCTCTATTACTAGAGAATACTATTTTAGATTGGCTTTAATTAATCATAATGTTAAAAGTCTTTCTTTTTTTCATATGAATGAAAAAAAAATTATATTCAAGAAAGGAGAATTAATCTAATCTAAAATTAGAATTTGATATAATATGTTATTATAAATATAATTACACAACTATTCATTCTAAAAAGAGAATTTAATATTATTATTTCTATCAGGGAAAAGGTCTATTGGAAAAAAAAAACTAACATGCATGGTTAAAATCAACGTTCTTATAATTGAATACAAGTTAAAAAATATTTAATTTGAATTGATTTCAAAATCATGCATATGTGTTAAGCATTTGGGAGAAAAAATGAATTAGTGATTCATCTATATTAAAGAATAATATAAATCATATCTTGAGTCTTATTTAAAAATTTAAATTTTTTGATGAGATAATCCTTTGACATGGTATCAAAGTCTTATTAACCTAACGGTCAAGAGTTCGAATCCTGCTACCTCTATTTTTTTTTCTAATTAATTAAGCATAAGGTAGTAAGTTTAATCTTACGGGTAGCTTTTTAGAAACTCAACTTGAAAATTTATATCGGTTGTCAAAAAAAAATCTACGTTTTATCTCTCATAAACTCTTAATTTTTTTTTTAATTACAAATTGAGGGTATTATGACTCAAATTCAATTTGTCGATCTCTAAAATGCCTAGGCTTTTCATTCTTGACATAGTCCAGGTGTTTCAAAACTCTTCTTTTCTATTTTAAGAATCATCAAAACCATTTTCAATTACTAGTTAAAGGAGGCAACCAAAAATGGGCAAAGCTACAATTATCGGTGAAAAAAGACAACCAAACATCGATTGTACTTCTTGTATTTAAAGTTGATAAAATCTAATAAAAAATCCTAATGAGCTATGGAGTAGACATATTCGCCGAATCACGTAAATATTCTTGTGTCATATGATTGTTTATTATTATTATTATTATAGCTTTATCTTCTTTTTTGATTTGTTTTCAAACATTAGTGGTAGTGCTAAACCTAATCATTATAATTACTCGTTATCTAGGAGATAGAGCATATGGTTCAAACTCTTCAAAATTTTTCAAAAGCCAAAACTTAGTTGCATCATCTAAGAACTTAAATTTTTGGGTGAGATGATTATTTAATATGGTATCAAAGTCTTACTAACCTAACGAGTCAAGAGTTTAAATCTTAACACCTTTACTTTTTCTTCTAATTAATTAAACACAAGATAGCATAGTTCTAGGGTCTTAATAGTTTAATCTTTTGGGTAACTTTTTAGAAGCTCAACTTGAAAATTTATATAAGTTGTAAAAAAATCAATGTTTTATCTCTCATAAACTCTTAAAAACCTTTTTTCAATTGCAAATTAAGGGTATTACAACTCAAATTCAATTTGTCGATCTCTAAAATGTCTATTTTTTTATTCCTCATATAGTCCAGGTGTTTTAGAACTCCTTTTCTATTTCAAGAATCATCATAACCATTTTCAATTACTAGTTAAGTAGGCAACCAAAAATGGGCAAAGCTACAATTACCAACAAAAAGAGACAACCAAACATTGATAGTACTTCTTGTATTTGTAGTTGATAAAATCTAACAAAAAGTCATAATGAGCTATAAAGTAGACATATTCGCTAAACTACGTAAATATTTTTGTGTTGTGTGATTATTTATTATTATTATTATTTGCTTTATCTTCTTTTTTGATTCGTTTTCAAACATTAGTGGTAGTGCTAAACCTAATCATTGTAATTGTTGATATCCTGGAGATAGAGAAGATGCTTTAAACTCTTCAAAACTTTCCAAAAGCCAAAACATAGTTGCATCATGTCGAAATGTTGCATGGTCTGCCCTAATTGCTAAAACAAGCTGGTGGCTGGATAGTTTCTTAATTATGTTCACAATGAAGAAAACAATGTA